AACCCGGTTATCTGTACCCTGGTCTCTCGATATCTCGAATACGAAGCTCTTTCTATCGGGACGTCGAGCAAAGGGAACAAGGAGGATTCAAATTAAAGAAAGCTTAAATAGTATCTTTAACAACATTTTATTTAATTATAATGCCATTTGCGTCGCTAATTCTTACACAAGGAAACGAATATGGAGATAAAGATACATCGTCGACGATAACGTGTAGCGGAAACTACGCATACAAAAGTACATACTATACATATTGTAAATGATTGAACGAAAGTAACAATCGTTCTATGCACCAGAAAGAAATAACGTTGCAGATATACAAGTGGGTACTCTCTAACCAACTTCGAAATTTCGTCTGCTCTCCGCTAGGGGAAGTCTGGCTTTTTCTTTTGTTTAACACTAGATTGCCCAAGGAAGTCATTTTGACTGCTTTTTAATTTCAATTAGAAAAACAATTGTGTATGTAATGACACAATTTCTTAGAGTTTTGTGACTTTTTGAACAAGATATAAATGAGTTTATTAATCATTGTAGTTACTTCATTTCCGGTGTATATAACTCATTTATATGCTGTACAAAAAGTCATAAAATTCTAAGAAGTTGTGTCATTATATTTGTTTTTCTAATTGAAATAATATATATACAGGGTGTCCCGTAAATAGTGTAAGAACCGGAAATGGGGGATAGCTGAGACAATTCTGAACAACAATTTCCTTTGCAAAAATGTCGGATGGGGCTTCGTTTTTGAATTATTAACGAAAAACACTGACCAATCACGGCGCTCGCCTTCCGTATATGTGTTATACCTATATTGACCAGAAGCAGTCATTTTGACTGCTTGGGAAATTTTAAATGATCAAATGACTCTTATTATTGAAATAAATTTCTTATATGACCAGTTCGTCTCTGTATTGAAATAACAGTTTTCATTTTTTTTTTCGATTACCGACACATGATAAATTGTCGATTTGGGCGTATACTTGATAAGTTGCAGTTTCTCAATAAGCTAAAGTAGTACTTGTTATTCGAATCTTTATGCAGTGATACTTGTTCCAACAAGTTGTTTATTTTATTTTTTTTGTGCCCTAAATTCATAATATTCAAAATTAATTTTAAACAAATTTCTTTACACATTAGTTATTTCTTTCACATACATATTCTTTTGGGCAATATAATTGAATATAAATGAAACAATCACCACCCATGGGAAAAATTTTAATGAAGGATTCTAGAGGCCAAAATAAGACGAAAATCAAGAATACCAATTTGTTGATGGAGGCTTCGTTAAAAAGTTATTAACAATTAAATTCAAAAATTTCAAATCGTTCTAAAAAAATTATTTTCGGTTGCGGGAGTAAATTACAACCATTTTTGGTCATTACACATATCACCGAAATCCTACGTACTTTCGAGAAAAAAATTCGAGAAGGTGTGTAATTTTTGGACGGGAAAACAAAATTTCAAATCGTTTTGGAAAAATTATTTTCGGTTGTGGGGGTCAATTACAATAATTTTTGGTGAATACACATACCCCTGAAATACTGCGCATTTTCGAGAAAAAAAATTCGAGTAGGTTGTCTAAATTTTTCGGTGAAATTGGAAAATTTCAAATCACTCTGGAAAAATTATTTTTGATTACAGGAATCAATTACAATTATTTTTGGTCAATAGACATACCTTTGAAATCCTAACCATTTTCGAAAAAAAAATTCCTTAAATTTTTCGGTGAAATTGAAAAGTTTCAAATCACCTTGGAAAAATTATTTTCAATTGCAGGGGTCAATTACAATCATGTTTGGTTAATAGACATATCCTCGAAATCCTGTGCATTTTCGAGAAAAAAAATTCAATACAGTTGGAACTTTAAACGTTAATAACTTTTTAACAAAGCCTCCATCAACAAATTGGTATTCTTGATTTTCGTCTTATTTTGGCCTCTAGAATCCCCCATTAAAATTTTTCCCAGGTTTGACCGAACACCCTATATGTTAGGGGAATCACTGAATATTAAAGATAGACAATTTTTAGTGTGAGTGAAATTTCACAGGCATCATTACATATATTCATTTTGCTTCATATATTTGCTAATATTTAGGTTCGTTTTTATATGAAAACAAGTAACAATAAAGATGACTAAGTTTCAGTCTTTCCAGTGTTAAACTCGTTGGTATCCGTAAGAAAGTGTTTACGACTCGATAAGTATGGTCAACAGACTCTCGATACAATGCCCGGGGAATAGAAGCGAGCATAACGATCCATAAAAATGTCTATTCTAGGAGGAAGAACGCGTCGGGTAAAAATAGATTCGAAGACCGCGCTCTAAGGTTAAGAGTTCTTAATCGTCGATCGAATCGCACAGGGTCTCGGCTCGTCGCGGAATCCGCGTTCCATTCGCGATAGGCGTGGATAATGTTTGTTATTTCGTCGAGTGCCCCCCCCGGTCTCCGTAGACGTTTTGCATCGCAAGACTCACCCTCTCGGTCGAGAAATTTAAAATTAGTCTTAAGGTCAAACGTTGGTAACTGTCGTCATCGTTGTTCCTGACCTAGACTCGCTGGGGTGTAAACTTCGGTACGTAAGGACGGGGACAAGGTTCGAATGGAAAGAAAGGAAAGGCTCGATTTACACACTCGACGTGAACCCGTCCCTGCGAGGTGTAACGACGCTCGAGTCATGACGCAGGCGTCGAGTGCTTTGGCACGCGAACCGGCGCTATATTAGAAGTCGATTATCGCGATTTCGAATTTACATCGTCGACGATCGCCCTCCCCTGCGCGAAATTGCACCGCTTTCTCTTTTATGCGATAACGATGATCGATAAGTCGCTCGTGTGCCGTTGAGGGAAGAAACGAAAAGAATCTTGGTTGGATAACCTTCGTCATCGATCGCTGTATCTAGCTTGACGCTTTCTCAGCGTTACTGACTCAACGCGATCTGGTTGCGAGTCGAATGCACAAACGCATTTTCTGTGTTTACAATGGGGGTATTGGTCGTTCTGGCTAGCCAAATTATCTCATTGATTTACAATGTTTCTATTAACGATAGCTTGAGACGTTAGGAACAATTGTTCGATATTTTGACTGCTATAAAGGTTCACAAAATGACTATTTTGAGGAAGAAGAAGGATTATTATACGGTGCTGGAATAGCAGATTAGACAGAATGCCACAAAATCATACATATTTCTCTTGCCAAAACTTTAAACGCGATTTACTCGAAACATCTTTTCTCGCTAAGTTCAAAATCGGTGTACACGATTACTCAAAAACTACTCGACTTATCCGACTGAAATTTAATACACATTTTAATGGTAGTAATGTCTCATGGATGAACTTAAAAGTAAGTTAAAATCACGGAAATAAATATCATTTTTAATGCAAAAACGAATACAAGTCTTCTTTGAAATATTAAGCTTTTTGCTCCGAGGTCTGCCATTTTTCCAATTTTTAATCTTCTTTCAATATCTTCGGTTCATCCATTTCCTATTGTTATATACTAATCATATTTCGTTGCTTAGCAGATTCGGATAATAAAAACCGACACTAGAGTGTACACCGTTTTAGAAGACGTCTTGCGGCGCTTCTAGCAAATCATGCTGTATCTCCGCCATTTTGCATTTTATTTGAACAAAAAAAATTGCAAAATGAAATTGAAGTATATTCTAAATAGTCCTCAAAACCTTACAAATATTTATTAATTTTTTATCCTTCGAAATAATTCTTGAAAATCGGCTTAATTTCGGATTTAAGACGTTAGGAACAATTGTTCGATAAGAATCACACTTTTCTTTCTATTTAACCGTCAATATATATATATTTTTTATTTTACCTGCTATAAAGGTACACCCCTGTGGTGGTTTGCTATTGTAAGAGGAAAGAAAAGGATAGAGAGGGGATACGTCCTGGGCCTTCTAGTTGGACCCATCACTAGCAGGCCCTGCCTCAGACGCTGTGACAAATGATGAATGAAAGAGCGTAGGTGGTTGGTCGAATGCTTGTGAGAAAGGTTCAGGTTTGCGTAGCCCTCTGCTGGCGAGCCCCCATCATTTACATATTTGCGACTATCGTTCAAATATCTTACAAACATGGTTTAATTAATGACTTCGTCAGATGTTATTTGTATTAATATATGTATTGGTCGGTTATTTACAGGCAAGCCTCCCTCCCTTCTATTAGAAATTGGTTACTAAATAAAGTACTCAGATTTCCTGTCAACAAACGCTACACTTTATTTCCATTACGGTTCTGGGTTAGGTCTGGGTTAGGTCTGGGTTAGGTCTGGGTTAGCAGGTAAAATAAAAAAAAATATATATATGGATGGTTAAATCTTAGAAATTGGTTATTAAATAAAGTACTCGGATTTCCTTTCTATAAACGCTACACTTTATTTTCATTACGGTTAGAAGAGACATCCTTTCTATATGAGTTTTACAACAGAACTAACCTGCAATCGTACAGAGAAAAACTGAGAGCCGACGAACTGCGGCGTTGGAGACCAATATCTACCCCTGTGTTTATGCGAGGTCCTATCGCATCTTTGTATAAACAGGGAACCGAATCTTACGAGGGAATATCTCTCTCCTTCGGAATAGGAGACCAGTAAATTCGATTAATTTTGTACTTGGTTTTTAGTAGAAAACTATTGTTAATGGGATAGCAATAGGAGATGCACTGTGGTCGAAAGTATAGGCACAGATAACAATAACGAGCAGAAAACTCTATTATAGAAGGTGAAATACATAATGATCTGCTACGTTATGTCTGGACGCGAACTCGCGACGATCTGAAGAACGCACGGCACGGTGCTCGTCTTAAGAATGGTTCGATTAACAATCGACGATCGCCCTAACCGAAAAGGGCGATTGCACGCCGTGTGCAACGCTGAACCGTTAACGGATTCCGTCTCGTGATATACCACGAACGGTTTCCTGTGACAACAAAAACCTAACACCTTCCCCCCGTTAGAACACATATGTATGTACGTGGAGAGTAAAATTCTCACCTCCTGCGACTCGAAAGCCTCTTTAACGTGCTCGGCGATCTTGGCCGCCTTCAGGCTGGTTCCAATGGGCGCGAGCTGCAAGAGACGACGCGCCTGGGCGTCGGTGGCGAGCTCCTGGTAGTAGGACTCGCCGGAGTCCCGTCTGCTGCCCGCGATGCACATAGCTCTACGGAACAGTCCCGCGACGACGGCGCACAGGCCGCACTGCATGCTCGTGGCGCTGCCGCGGCTCGACAGCGACCCACCATTGGTCCGCCGGCGGGTCCGAGTCCCGCGAGAACCACCCTCGCGTCTTTGGGACGCCAGTTTTCTCTTGCTCTTCCTCTCGCGATCTTTCTCTCTTTCTCGCCTCGACGAACCCGCGGCACTATCCCCGGTACCAGCCACCTTCCTCGTTCACCGAAACCACGGGCGACGATATCTCGCTACCTCGGTAGTTCCCATCCCCCGTCGACGCAGCGTTTATCTGCCCCGAGATCCTCGTTCGGTAGCGCTCCCGCTTGTTCGTCGACGATCGATTCGCTTCGCGTACGCGATTCAGGCCAGCGTCGCGTCTCCCGACGGTCCCCCGGTACCGCATATCACCTGCACCGACCAAAGCACGTCGGAAAGAGGTCTAAAGATCTCTTCGGCCAGGAGGGTAGCGGGAGAAGGAAACGACCACGAGAAGGAGGAGCTCCGCACGGCGTGTATCTCCGAACTATCGATTTACGCCAAGCACACCGTCCGATACCGTCGAACGACATCGATGGTGCACCCCCTGGACAGGACACCCGGAGACCACGAGGGCCTCGTCACCGACGGATCGCTTCGTGTAAACGCGTTCGACCGACCCCCAACTACGGTATACGAGTAAACGATACCACGCTTGTATTTTAAAACCAACACGAGGCAACTAATTCGATCGTAAATCTACCAAAAATTTTCAAACATTTCTCTACGAAGTAAACGCTTATCAGAGATGCTGGTCAAGTTCTCGATTATCCGTCCCCTCCCCGATTTCGATGATTTTTAAATGTATCATCGAAATCGGGGAGGAGGCTGGCAATCGACAACTTCGCCACCTTTTTTTTTATTACTGAATTTTTATTTATTAACAAAACCAAATATAACAAACGATCGAATCAGTAATTTTATCTTCTACACACATATATCAAATTTATGTGGTATTATGCAACGAGGTAAAACACTCGATTCAGCAAATAACCGATTTGTCGAACTTTCCTGTTTGTAGAAGGGGGAAAAAATTTGTTCGATTAACGAAAGAAGACACGATTTGTCGTAGCTGAGCAGAGCATTCCATACCAACTGACGAAGCAGAGAAGATAGTAATAACTAGACTGCGGATCTTCATGCAAATTCATATTTTTGTTAATAAAATTATTGAAATTGGAGCTTTGATTAGATATAATAATTCGTACCTTACTTTAAGTATTTCTTATATTCTTGCGTGTTGAGTGCATTCTGTAGTTTTTTGAGAATTAAAATTTCCTATAAATGCATAAACATCCGCAGTCCAGTAATAACGTTAGGAACGAGCTTTCTAGTTTTAAAAACGAAGGATGTAAATATTTAGAAGACTGTGTTGGCAGTAGCTGGTACATATGCAAAAAATATTTCCAAAAAAAATTATACAGTACGTCTGTGGCAATAAATTGCAGTAGCAAAGGTTACCAAGAAGCTTGTTGATTTTTTAATGGTCATATTGTTGACTTTGCTACATTGCAGCTGATGAAAAACCAAGTTCAATGATCTACTATACAATCATCTTCAGATTACCTCGAGCTTGAATAACAATTTATTAAAAAAACATAAATGTAACTTGTTGATATTTTAATGGACATATTGTTTACTTTTCAACATTGCAGCTGATGAAAAACCAAGTTCAATGATCTACTATACAATTGTCTTTAGATTACCTCGAGCTTGAATAACAATTTATTAAAAAAACATAAATGTAACTCATTGTCAGTGGATACTTGTTGATCGAATGAAAACGATAAACACACTTATCCTAAATTCAACCTTTTGTTTATGTTGCAATTATTATTGTCAAATACTGTATAACACATTAGTTCGTTGCATGTGATGAGAAAATTGTTTATTTAATAATGAATCGTTTCTCTAATTCTGAAAAGAGGGATTATTGACGCCTGGTGGCCATGCACCTAACATGTATCGTGTACAGAAGGTTGAATCTTGATTAAGTATGTTTACATCCAATTAGAAAAAAAATGCTACAAATAAAGAAACTCGTCTTCTTAATAACTTGTTATAGATTTCTCAAGGTCAACTAAAACTTGTTTTTTAATCAAGTGTAATGCTACAACGTCAAAAATATATATGCTACTTTTAAAAGTCAAGGTAACTGCAATTTTTTATGGAACAAAAAGTTTTTTGGAAATTTTTATTATTGTAATTTAATACCATGGAAGTATCGAATAACTTTTATTGGAGACATTGTTTCATCAGGTTAGAGTAACTGTCGGAAAAATCGTGGCGACTGGAGCGCCGACTGTTGTCTATTTTAAGGTTAAGAAACTTGGGTTTCATTAATTTTTAATTCGTAACACGAGTTAGAAGGAGACGCTTGAATTGGACTGTGTATTGGAACGCTAGTATATTACATGGACATTTATTAATTTGTGTTATATCTGCTTAAAGCGAGTCATTAATTGCGTTACTATTAATAGCTGAAAGCCAGATATCAGTGACATGTCCTGTCTTAGATCGGTGCATCTATACACTCATACGCCAAAGTATTCGAACGCTGCATTTTCAACACCCAAAAAGAGAAATATGCATATGTAAAATTACAGTTTAAAATATCAAGATAAATCTTATATCTCAAAACTATTCTATTCTGTGGAGCAAATTGTTAATTTATTTATTCAAGAATCCATGTATTTAATTGTATCGAAATTAAATTAACGCTTTGCCAATTGCTCAAACTTTAATTACTAGAATATAGGGATTCGTAACATGAAATATTTGAAATAGTACTCATTTTGTCTCTAGGGAATTAAACATGGCAAAGTTTCTTCAAATATCAAATTACAACTAGCTCCTGGCAAATATAAAAATATTCAGTAACATTTCATTATAATTATATAATTTTATCATCGTTTCTAAAAATTACTTTTGTTTAATGAAATAATTCATAAAATGTAAACAGGGAATTTTGCATGAGACTAGCAACATAAGTGATCTTAAATATGTACATCCTTTGAAAATTAACGTTTATCTAGGTCCACCTATCGTTATCTATAATCTTCGATTGCATACAGTTAGTACAAGCACAGTGTTTATATATGTTTATAAACGTAAAACACGACATGTCACAAAGAGGGATGTTTCTCCGATTGATTAGCAATGTGTTAAGATATATTTACATTTCGTGTAATCAAGATCAGTTAATTCGTCTATGCACGTTCGTAACTACAACGCATAGAGGGCGTTTCTGGGCGAAAAGCGATACGGTTAACAGGTTAACCGTGAGAAAAGATAACGTCTACTTTGTTGTATCGTCCAAGTCCAATTAACGTGATCGCACACGCGTCCCCGAGAGGGTTAGTTATTTCTAGCGTCGATGTACCGACACGTGCTTCGCGTGTCAGTGGAAAAACCTAACCACGATCGCGATTTTTTTCGCCGAGGGGACGCGTCCCGTTGTCGATCTTCTTACCAACGTCGTTAATGGTACGGGGCATCCGATATGTCAGGTAAACAAGCAGTTTCTCCCCCAATCGCCCCCTCCCTCACCGCTCCCCCACCCCCGTTTCGATAAGATAGGAGAGAGCCCGGGCCAAGAATCTCGACCTAGGAAGAGAAATAAAAACGAGCAGGAACAAAGGCCGTTCTCTTTGTTCGCCGCGACCTCGATTTTTAAGCAAGACTTTATTTCAGCTTACGGAGCAGCAATTATAACCGCGTGGCGAGAGCAGCACTCAGAGCGTGTACGCGATGAAAAAAAAAGGACGGATCGCGCACGTATGCTCGGTTTCCACGCTGCCTGTCGTCGAGACACTGTGTACATATTCCTAGCCGCGCACGGAACAGCGAAGGAATTGATGTCGGTGACATTTCAAAGGCCGCACATATCATTCGCGTATTCGAGCAACGTTTCACCGACCACTTCCGTCAACAGTAACAGCCCCAAACGCAGCACGGTCAAGCTGTCGTCGTCTCGATGAAAACACAACTCGTTTCTCCTTGATTCGGGCGCACCGTGTAAACGTATCGTTTCGCTCTGACGTTCATCCGTAAAACGCGAGACGACGAATCGTTCGGAGTTCCTCCTGGTCGAAGGCCGTAACCCAATTCTTGTTCGAGCAACGAACGTCCGTCGAAGACGAGACGAGACGAGACGAGACGAGACGAGAGAAAGCGATATCTCGATACCTTTATCAGGGCGTACAGCGTCTGGCTGTCGTCGCGCGAGAATTCCTAACCAGTACGCGAGAGGAACGACGGGGTAACGCCCGCGCACAGATCTCGTAGCTGGTTCCGCACCGGGACGAGCCTAGGAGCTCCATAACCGCGTGTCACGGGATCGGGATGGCCCCCGGGCCCCGAGGCCCGGTGCCGTGGTGGCCACGAACACGAGGGCGCCTCTCGTAACGGGTTCCTCCGTCGCGCACGTTTTTTTCGGGACGAGACGGACACGACGATGGAAAGAAAGAAAGGAAAAAAAAAAATATCCCCCCCCGATAGAGGAGACGAGGCCGGAGAGCGCAACGTCGCTATCACCGACTATGCACGCCGGCCGGCCGCTATGCATGCACTGAGACACTGGATTCGAGCGACGTTCGAGCTCGGCCGCGCTCGGTCGTCCTCGTCGGCGCTCGGTGCTGCTCGCCGCCTGGCCACGCTTCCCGGTCAGAAGAGTGGCTCTCACTATGCGCCGAGCTCTCGTCGCGAGTGGCCGTCGAACGACGGCGATCGGGTCGACGCTGGTTCCTCCGATATGTTGCTTCTCTTTTACGGAGAGAGGGAACACGTACGCTACGAGAGAAGATCAATAACGGATCCCTCCCTCTTTCCATCGCGCGTACGCGGCCGCGACGTAGCCGCCTCGTATTTACACATGCACATCGCGCGAGGACTTTCTTACTACGCTGCTTCCCTACCCTCGCCGCGACGGGGCTGGGTTGCCCGAAGGGTGCGGGCAGGAAGGATTTCGCGGTCGTAAGACGGCGCGGCGTGTAAAGGATGGCCTCATTTATTGATCCTTTACGGATTTCATTGGAGTGCCGCTGTAGCGATATACCGGCGACGGGAGTGGGGTGGTTGGGTATTGCTCCGAATCTTATTGCTGTTTTAATCCGGAAGGGAAGTTTGTGCACGGACTGTTTGCAGTTTACGCGCGGTTCGAACGTTACGAAGGTAAACGAATGATACGAGTATTAGTTATTACGTACGTGACTGCGGTACCCGATACCGAAAATCGTCCTGCGCTGTCGCTTAAATACTGCTTTCTACTAACATTCGTACGGTCCTCGAACAATGAATAATTTGAAAGTACATACACAAAAAAATATCAAACCATTGGTCTGGATCACCAATGTCGATTGTTGAAAATTTTGTAAGAAGGTTGGTGGAATAAAATCTTGGAACACAATTGTTGCTGTAGTTAGAAAAGAACTCTTACTCTTGTTCTTGCTCTTGCCCTTGCCCTTGCCCTTGCCCTTGCTCCATGGCCTGGAATGAGCACTCACTTGAAACCAAAACTCAATTTATTAATAACAACAAAAGTACTGTTACAATGATATTTAGAGAAGAAAATGTGTATCTCGATTAACATAAAACATTGTATCGATTTAATTGTCCACTTTCTATAAAGATAAACGCTCTTCTTCGTGTTATATTTTCCCAAAAATATTGATCTACTTTTCCTTGAATCTTTCTTTAAACTTTAACCTTTTATATGTATAGCGCATTTAAAGGTTACATTTTAATGTGTGATTGTAACGAGTAATAATTACATACGGTAATTACGATAGTAATTGCAGATTAACAATTACAATTGTAATTATGGTCAGTTGCAGCTATCGATTACGAAATGTAATCTGCAATTGCATCGGAGGTAATCAATTACGTAACCAATTTTAATTGCAACTTATTATAGCCAACTCTGACCAAAAGGTACATTCGATTCAAATGATTCAACATGCGTTGATACTTGAAATAAAAAAATTCACAAGTATATAACTTCAGTATTTGGAGTTTCTTTCATTTAAAAATTTAATTGAAAGTTACGTCGTTATTTCGAATAATGAAATTATTTTTGTCATTTCAAATAACGCTGAGAAAAATAAAAGATTGGAATGACTATTTCTTGTTTTCATTTTATAGTATAACTGATTCTAATATTAAAGTTTCTGGTGTCATTATTAGCTGCTAGATGGCTGTAACTTCGTTATTTTTACGAATTTCGTTAAATAGATTTGCAGACATATTTGCAAGGTTTCGAACTTTAAAAAGATACAAGAAAAACAGAAATCGATTCTGTTGGCTTACTAGAAGATTCCCTTAACGAAGAACAACTTGCCCTTACCCAAGATTCGCTGTATATCCTTCAGCCCTGGGCGGGGAAATTATTATCCATTCATATCGATGAGTGCGCCTGGTTCTGCATTTTTCACCGGTACCAGAGACACCCGGATGAAAAATCGATAAACGTTTCCGGTTTCACGTATACGATCGCGATGGATAACGTATTCGCGCCATTGGAAACGCGAATGTTGAACGTCGAAAACGTTGAAAAA